GCCTCAGAATCCTTCCAGATTGCATCCATGTTTTGGGCAGAAAATCTCAGGCTGGCTCCCAACTTGAAATGGGAATTCAAAATCCCCAGTAAAGAAAGTCCTTTTCCCTGGCGCCTCTCTGGTGTTCTTACTCCATTCCTGCGCATCCTGTCAGGACCAGCACAATCCTGCCAACCACGTTTGTCTAGCGCACTCAGAGAAACACAGAACTTCTGGATAAACATAGATCTGGAGGGGAAAAGAAAAGGGGCTAAGGCCTACACAGGGCAGATGACTTTCATGAGTTGATGCTGATGTCCCAACGCATCCTCAGTCGGCAGCCAGCTCATGCAGAAGCCAGGCGCTACCAGTTGTTCTTGAGTTGGTGAGTGGATGGGAGCACCACCTGCCCCGTCAGAGCTGACAGACAGGGCTGTCCCCAGCCCAGGCACTACACACCATCAAGAATGCAGCTCTCTGCCACCAGAAAAGCACAACCACAATCTCCAGGCCAGACTCAGGCAACCTGCACAGGTTTCTCCAACTGCCTAGGATTTCCAAGCCCAAGAAAAAATCTCCTACAATGACTGATGTGTGAGGAAGCAACCAGAACTAACAAGTATCATTTTAATTAAGTATTTTTATTGTGGAGATATTTATATGTAATAAAGCTTGCCATTCTAGCCATTTTAGTGTACAGTTCATTGGTATTAGTTATGTCCACAATATTGTACAACCATCACCACTATCCAACCCCAAAACTTCTTCATTATCCCAAATGGAAATTCTGTATTCATACAGCAGTAACTCCCCATTCCCCCTCCCCCGGCCTCTGATAAATTGTTAATCTACCTTCTGAAATTTCCCATTCTAGTTAGCTCATATAAGTTGACTTAAACAGTATCTATCCCTTTGCCCCTGGCTTATTTCTGTTAGCATAATGTCATCAAGGTTCATTCATGATGTAGTGTATATAGAAGGTCATTCCTTTTTATGTGATTAATTGTCCAATGTGTATACTACTACTGCTGTTTATCCAT